GATTAATATGATGGCTGCTGACGAACAGGTAATGGTAGTTTTGTGCATTCAAAATATTTTATTAAAGTCTTTGAGACAGTTACAGTTTTGCGGTTTTGGCGATGAGTTTTTGCAAAAAAAAAAATTTTATGAACGCATGTGACTTGTATTTTTAGTTTCCTTAACTATTAATATCATTATAATCCTCATTATTATTAATATTTTCCTTCTTATCGCCGACATTTTTATTGTTGCTAATGTCGTTATTATAATAACATTAATAATTATTGTCATTATTGCTAGTATCATTATCATTATCGTTGTCACTGTTATCTATGTTTAAAATTTTAGCTAATCGTTGTTAGTTCGGACGAAGTGGCAGCTGTGCCATTGCAACATTGTTCCGAGCAACGTACCTGTGCCGGTTGTGTGCACTTACAAGATGCACACTGTGCATGGGATTTGGATTCTGCTCGATGTGTTGGTCGAAGCACGTGGTCTGGCGAGAATTTTGTCCAAAATATGGTACTCGGAAAGTCTGAGCAATGTCCGGAAGGAGTAGTCGATCCAGACTTCTATGCTGTTGATGGTAAGGTTTCGGACTTTTTTGCCTCGTTTTCGGACTTTCTTTTGTCTAATTTTTGGACCTGTGCTACCTCAATTTTCTTTTTTTTGGACTCTTTTTAACTGCATTTTTAGATTTTCATTTTTCTTTATGTTTAGATCTCTTTATAATCCTCATTTGTGCATTCTAAGTTATTATTTGCAGGTTATCTTTTTTGTTCTCTGATTTTGGCTCCTGAAATTGAAATTTTTGAAGCTCAAAAAAGTATTTTAGATTTACATTCAGAGCGAGTCACAGCAACTGAGGAAAAGCAGGGAAGTTTTGGCGCACAAACGCTCATCATCGTTATGCTAATGACGATTGCAATAGCATCTGTTTGCGGTTTCTTTGTTGGCTATCGCATTGCCAGGTGGAAGCTCATACAGGAAGGCCATCGTCATTCATCCGGTTCTTCTACAGGT